AACAAAACAAACCCAACAACCCAAAATGTAGTCTTTCAATAGGCCTGCTTCAGTGCCTGCCTAAGGGCTCTAGCATGGGCGTTTCTCAAGGTATTATCTTGGGCAATACAGTATGCAAAGAATTTTTGAAAATGAACTTCTTGCTTTCCAAAACAAGGTGGTATTCAGAGTTGAAGACCATTCAATGGAGGGGAATCGAGAAAAGCTAGAAGCCAGATTGCAATGTGTGGAACATAGCAAGGAAAAAAGGTGACAGCAAACATCAACAAAATGGACTCCTGATCAAACAGCTTATTCAAAAAGAGGTACCAGCTCATCAAGACTTGGACCTTAAACAGCTGATGAACAAACTAATTTTATTACCAGAGAAGTAGGGCTTCATAGTGCTGCAGATGGTACAAACGCTGTAAAACAGCTGGTCTGAAGAGTGTACAGTCTAAACAGGTGATGGGCAAAAGATGGGACGGGAGCAGAGGCTCAGAGAGATGAAGTGACCAAGCCCAGGGTTGTGCACTAAGTTTGTAGCAGAATAAGGCCCTATTAAAGGGTCTGTTGATGGCTGCTACCCTGCCTGCTAGACAGCACTGCTGCTTGAAAGAATGGTTGGAAGTACTTGTTTGTTCAGCTGAAGCACGGCAGGTTAGAAAGCTGAAACATTTGAGTAAGAGGCATTAAAATGGTAGGAAATGCAGTGGGTTACAGTAGTAATGGCTGCAAAAGTCAGCTGGCAGAAATCATTCTCTCTAGTAGGAAAACAATGTTAAAGTAAATGGGCCAAATATTCAAGACTCCTTCATTTCAGAGAAACAGTTGAGGATGTCATGAGTGTAAGTTTTATAGAAAGATTCTTGTTGCTTCGTTTTCAGCAAAACTCTGGGTTATAAGCAATGGTAGGGTTTTTGTCTGTTCTTAGACAAAGTCACGATGAAGAAGCTCTTGGGGAAATGTCCAAGAGGCAAATAAACCATAAGAAAATGCTTGTAAAAAAATAAGTGCCATTCCTGTAGCTGACGTTTATAGTTGTAACCCCCAAAAATGTAAAAATTGGAATTTCTTTGGGGAGGAGCAACACTGGTTTAAACGCTTCTATAGTGGTGCTTAATGGAGCTTTTGTTTGTTCTTAGAGTACCTTAAACTAGGCCTGTGCGAAGTGGCTAGTATTCACTTCAGATTCGGATTTGGCCAATTCGGGGGACACTGATTCAATTTGGTGATTTGAATCACTGTCCCGATTCAATTCGGCCAAATCTGATTTGGAGATTTGGCTGCTGCCGAATCTCCGAATCAGCCAGACCAGGCCCATCCCCCACCTGCTTTCCCTGCCTGGCAATGGCTGCCCCGCCCTCCCCAGCTCCCGGCAGGTGGGGAGGAAGCCCCAACTCAGCGGGTGCTGCTGGGGGGTGGGGAGAGATCCCTGCTGCGCCCCACTGCCCAATGCTGCATGGGGGTCTCTGCACAAGCTGTCTGCTGTGGCTCTGGCCCTTTAAGAAAAAAAAAAGAGAAAAAACCCTGCACTCACCACTTCCTGCCAGCGGGGGGCGATCCCTGCTACCCCGTGCCATGTGGCGGGCTCTGCCACAAGCTCCCAAAGCCCCGAGGCCACTGCAGAAGCAGAGTCCCGGGGATTTTCTTGGATTTTTTTTCTTAAAGGGCTGGAGCTGGTCCAGGTGGCGCACCCGTGGGGGGGCTGTGGGAGTGAGGGAGGGGTCGAGGGACTCATGGCAGAGCCCCCCATGCAGCACGGGGCAGTGGGGGGCAGCAGGGATCACCCCCCTGCCCGGCAGCACCCAGTGAGTACCGGGGCTTTTTTTACAGTACTGAGCTGGAGTGGGTGGGGCAGCCATGGGGGGGGGGGACCCCCCATGGGCCCATCCCCCAGCCCCTAGTACTTACCAGCTTGGAGTCCAGCTGCAGCTCACTGCTTCAGCCACCAGGGACTGCCCAAATCATCAAAGCTCTCCGAATCTTTTCTGAAGATTTGGAGAGCTTTGAATCGATTCAAACCCAGAGTTTTGCTGAAAATGAAGCGACAAGAATCTTGCTATAAAACTTACACTCATGACATCCTCAACTGTTTCTCTGAAATGAAGGAGTCTTGAATATTTGGCCCATTTACTTTAACATTGTTTTAACATTGTTTAAATTGGTCCCCTAATTCAATTTGGATTTG